ACGTGAATTGGACATAATCGTTACTTCAATCCCGAGGAATAGATTGAAATGAATTATTGGAGGATAAAACAGAAACAGAGCCAAGTATGGCTGAATCGTTGGATTAAGTGAAATAGTGGAGATTCCTTTGAAGGGATGGATTCGTATCTCCTCTTTTAGTCAACAGTGCCTCCTTTTCTCAAATCCTTATTAATTTATATTGAGAACAAGTGGCTGTGGATTACAAATCCGATACATTACATAAAAAATTCTGACAATGGAATTCTACGACAAAGAAATGCAATGCTTAACAGAAGTCTAGAAATGCACCATTGGATAGAAGCACGGTTATCAGATTAAACACCTCTGCAAAATGCCCATCAATGTGCATAGTTGTCATCCATCCACTCATTAAGGAATAAAGATTACAAGTAGTTTGGTTATCAAGCGGCAGTCCTTTACCACAGTGTTACAGGAATTGGATAAACGATTCATCACTTAATACGTTGGAAATTTAATTGTAATTTTTGTGCAATGAATCACTTATCAAAAAATGATCTAAATAAAACAATATTTAAGAAACAAATTTGTGATGCATATACTTGAAAATTTTTCCGTTCAGTTGACATTAGCAATTTTGTTTTCACGACAGCTCAAGAAAATTTATTGATTGTGACCCTATGAAAAATTGTGTTATTGTATTCTTGATGAGGATTTCGTGTCAATGTTATCACTCAATCGCTCGATATGTGTTAGCATTATCATTCCTTTTGATGTCTTCGTATCGTGCCTGCTCATTTCTATGCGCAGTGCATGAGCTTGACTGTTGCGTAGATATGCACAATAGCGATACTAAAATTGCTTACCTTTAAAATTCCTATTCCTAGCTGAGAGATGCAACAAGCATGCATCCTTGAAAGGAAGTGAAGTTAGCGATATGTTCCGCGACAGGCATAAGGTGTAATGATAACATTGATATGAACGTGAAAATCCACGGATACACGTGTGCAAATGATTATTATTGTCGGATTACTGAAATTAAAGCTATATTCAAATAGAATTTCCATAATATCTGACAGCCAGGTTGATGAAATCTTGCTAATAAAATTAAAGCAATGAAAAGAATATAAGCTAACAATAGAGCATAACATAAAGACATCTCGATATCAACAGCATAACACAACGACATCTCAAATTCTCGGTACTACTTAGACACATGACAAAAATATAATTAGGTGACGTTTAAACCATGGAATGAGCAGATCACAAAAGGAAGCATTCTACGATTCGTGGCTTCTCAATATGATCCTCAAGAATTTTTAGTTCCCGCGATGATACTACTCTCAAATTATTCCTTCAAAACTTATGGAAAAGGAATTAAACCTGGGATGAAATTATAAAGGAAGAGGACGAAGAAATGTGGAAATCCCTCATCAAAAAGTGGCCAACACTTATTATCGAAATACTGTGGGTGGCAATAAACTCTACGAAATGAGTGCAAATTTATGTCTTCATGGATACTTCAAACGTAGCATATGTAACGGCGATATATGTCTTAAACATCAGTGCTATAAGGATCACTGATTTAAAAAAAAAAAAAAAAGTAGGCTAGCTCCAGTTGAAGGAATGAGGATACCTCGATTGGAAATGCTTGCAATACTAATTGGTATACGAGCAATAAAGTTTGTCAAGCAGCAATTAGAACTAAACGCGTGTCCAGAGGGTTCTCTGGTCGAACCCAAATGTCCACTATATTGGATACAAAACCACTCAAAACCGCTGTCAAGATTCGTGCGGAATCGGATAGGAGAAATACGGGAAGCAAAATTTTCATTTCGATATATCCCAGGTAAGCATAACCTTGTGGATGTTGCAACAAAAGGGCAGCAGGCATGTATCCATGAAGTTAGCAATGTGTCCTACGACAGGCATGAGGTTCAGACTTTTGCACTTATCCCTTGTACAATAGTAGAAGAATAATAAGTTAAATAATTAGAAATTCGAGAAACCTTCAAGTTGATGTCATCTTTAAGGATTCCTATTTATTCTGAAGTTCTAAAAACTGGAACGCCCGATGCTGCGATTAGAAAGACTGATTAATGCCTGATACAGATAACAAAAGCATAATGGTGGCCTAATGCCTTGCACGGGGGGTTATATAGAAACAATTAAAGTCATTTACAGTTCATGGCCAATTTGTGTGATTAATGCTGTAAAGTTATCACTCTCATTATCAGTCGTGTTTGCAGAATTATCTCACTATCTAACATCCGAATGTAGAGCAATACGTCGGTATATTTGGCCTTTGACTCCTGCGTTAACATATGAGAATTACTAATTAAAGTATAACTAAATCAGCTGGTATATGAAAGTCCAAAATTTATTTGCTTCAGTAGATTTAAAGAGTTTGTCCATTAGATTTCAAGAATTTGAGAGACCGAAACAATTTGAAATCAGACTTTTGCTTTCTGGAAAGAGACTTAAGCATATGTTCTACGACTGTTTGTGTGCATTTATACGCGCCCAATTGATTTTCTTTTCTTTATGACGGCGCACATTTGATGTGAAAGAAGAAATAAGGACATGTTTCTTAAAAATTAACTTTCGATCCTCAAAAATTAACTTTTTCTTCTTTCGAAAGATAAGTACAACAAAGTAACAATTACGGCAAATTTGTCCTCTCGCTTTCAAATCCACTTTTGTATTGCCAAATTTCTGTTAAATGAGTTATAACAGAGTTACTATCTCCTATACTTAACAAGCGATTTTATGGGCATATAATATTTGATGTAATTGCCCTATAGGCTTCTAAGTTAGAATAGGAAGCTGTAAAATCTGAAACGTCATGGGAGGAATCATTAGTAATAATAGGTAAAATTCTTTATTGCATCAATTAAAACTAAACAAAGATATACCGGCAATATATAAAAAGTAATATTATATTGCCAGGTATATCAGACATCGGTGCTTTTTCAAAGCCATTATTGTGAACAGTTGCAAATACCACGGCATTAACAGCTGGTGGCACAAAAGATGGGATTAACATGAATAATTAACTGTTTTAGAATAAAAATTCCAGAACTTGATAGTGTCGAAAATTTTGATGGTATCCAAAATATTGGAATATTAGCCATTTTGGTAAGCAGTTTTAAGGAATTCTGAAGATACGAGTTTAGAATTATTATTCTTCAAGAAAATTATCGCTTTTTAATCCTTATTTATCACGATATTTCAATAATTTAACGAGTGATTAGTGACTGATATCGAAATTAACCAATTACTACTATATATTTTTTCTTTCGGCTTCTCGTTTCGATCCATGAGTTGTCGACTAGCACAGATAATACAAACTATAGCGGAACCGTGAATGACTTTGATGACGATAACTTGTGCCCGCATAGATTTTCAATATATTTTTAGCATTGATTCAATTCACAATCTATTTATTAGCTTGATATAGAATAGAATGTTGAACAAAGTTTTGCATAATTTTTAAAATTTGAAGTTTGCATAATAATACAAAGACATTTGGAAAAAATGGGACAATTATCCATAATAATAATAATAGTAATAGGGAAAGTAACCGTAGGAATAAGGAGAGTAACCAAAGTATGGATAATAATTACCATATGAAGGATAATATGGGGAGCCTCCACCATACGCTGACCCCAGTAACGAAGCTAGTAAAAAAGTTCGAAGTAAATCTGAGTTAGAAAAAGCTTGAGGAGCTTGAGGAGCTTGAGGAGGTTGAGAAGGCTGTTTAGTTTGATTTCTTCTCCGATCACCAGTAAAGTCCAACTCTGCTGCATTACCATTGAAGGCTACTGTCTTAAATTTAAAATAAACTCATACTGGGAATGTTGATGCTTAAATGAACACTAATACTTAATATGTTAATATAATATGTGAAACTTTGATGTTTGAAACTAATAAGAGGCACGAAACTTACGTTGCCGCCTACTTGCATGTTGTTCGTGAAGGTAATAGGATTTAAAGCTACTGCTTGTGCATTCGTTTCAGTAACTGATAGTACTGCACTGAAAGTGAAGAAATTGATTAACAGATATTTATGCTTAATGAATAATGTAATAACAATAAACAGTTTAACTTACATTATCGTTAAAGCAATCAAATATTTGGTGACAACAAATGACAGCATAATAAGCAATCCAAAATCCCTGCAAATGTGATTGGCTGTGTACCATTGATATTATTACAGTGAGGCATAGGTCTTCGCCGCGTACGAGTTGAAAGAGTTGAAAGATATATTTGTGGAGATCGGAAAATAAGTCTGTTCATGAGTAAGCTTAAATATCTTGTTGCTGCCACGACTACAAATGACCGTAAGTTATCAGAATAATTGTTAAACAGGAAAGGATGACCATTACCAATTGATTTAAAGAGAGAAAAAGGTGAAATAAGGAATCGTGAATGATATGATTGCACAAATCATTTGTAACTATGAGAAGAGACCATAATTTGTATTTATGACAGATATAAAGTTTGGTTTTTGTTTTCTGGAAAGAGGAAAAATAATAGGCGGATAGACAAACATACATTGAACGAATATAAAAACTTTCTAAAATCTCGACGAATATTTTATTCAAATAATTCTTGTGATGAAGTCCAATTGTCCAACGTATTTTACGTCTTCCCGATGATGACACACATTTGATGCGAAGGAAGAAATAAAGAAATGGAAGTAAACAGTTTCTTAAAAATTAATGATTTTTTTCGAAAACAAGTGTGACAAAGTCATAATTATGGTAAACTTGTTCCTTCTCTTTCACTTCATCAACACTTTTTTTTTTAATCATGAATTTTAGTAAAATTTAAAATGGCAAAACATCATTAATCAAGATCTAAGCATAGGAAAACAGTATAAATCAAGATCTAACCATCTTGTTACATGTCAATGATATGTCAATTGCGCATATTTATTTCAGCCAAAAATTAATAGTAAGACAATTCCTGCGTGTAATTCAGCATGACATCCCTGATTAGTTTATTCAGCATCAACTTCAGTTCATTCTTATTCCAACTGTATACCAAAAAAAGATAAGGACAGAGGAACAACAATCGACAACTCCTGCCACAATACAATTACTTGTATGTTTTATTTCGATGGAAGTTACCATGGAATAAGATTGTGCAGCTTTTTCTTCACCGACAGTTCGTTCTTTCGTCTCCAATTTCTGTAGAACTTGAAATACCTTTCCTCCTTCTTTCTACAGTTATTTATCTGCGAGCAAGCACTCCTCTTACAATCAGTACAGTCGATAAACCGTACACCTAATGATCATTTTATCATTTATTGATTGAAAGATTAATTGCACCAATTTTACTTAGAGAGAGGAGTATTTTAGAATTATGCAAATCAACAAACCATGTCAAAGCATGAACTATAACAACTTGGTTGGAAAAAATGTCCATCTGTAATAACATATACAGTTGTATATTTCCGAAGTTTTTTCGATTTTTAAACGCCGCTTTTAACATGCACAGTCCTAAGATTTATCATTTTTGGTACCAAACCTTAAAGAATTCTGAAAATGTGAATTAGGAAATATAATTCAAGAAAACGGTTGCTTTTCAATTGCTTAATTGCTTAATTATTTAATTATCGTGATATTCCTTCAATTGCTTAATTATCGTAATATTCCTTCAACTGCTTAATTATCGTAATATTCCTTCAATTGCTTAATTATCGTAATATTCCAGCTATTTAACAAGTAAGTGGAATGAAAACTAGAAAAAAGGGAGATACAGATGGCTTCGATGAAGAAAATTTGTACCGGATATATTGAAAATTGATTGTGAATTGAATCAGTTTTAATAAGTTGCTACAGAACAAAATCTTGCATAATTCTTGAAAATTTGAAATCCACACGATGATATAAAGTTATTTGGAGGAAGTAAAACAATTATCCATAATTGTAAGTAGTAACAGAATGAGATGGCCCGTATCAACTATTTCCTTCATATCAACTATTTCTTCTGTACCTACTGTGATATGAATAGCCCTATAACAATAATAATTATAATTATATGACAAAGTATATGGCAATCCTCCACCAAGCAAGTTATCTGTGAGCAAATCCAAACCAGCATCAAGAGTAGAACGCCATCAGCTAGAAGGATTCTGTTGAGTTTGACCTCATCCTGGATCATGTCCACTAATAATGTTGCTGCATTACCGTTGTTGATCAACATTTATTGAAATGTTGATGCTTGAATGAGCACTACTGTCATATAACAATATGTCATTCATAGTAAAAGGTATGAAACCTAAGTTGTTGCTTGTTCTGTTACCATTGATGAATTCAGATTTAAAATGAACAATTGCGCATGCGTTTCAGCAACTGATAATATGTACTGAAAGTTTAAGAACACATTAACCCGAATGTAAACTTCAACTGAACAGTAAATACTTTAACTCACATTATTGTCAGAACAATCAAATATTTAGGGATAATGATTGACAGCATAATAAGCAATTCAAAATTCCTTCAAATATGATTGGTAATGTACAATTAGTAGTATTGCAATAAGGTTTACGTCTTCGTTGTATTTCAACCGAAGGAAACTTATCCTGTGAGAATTGGCAATAACATTAGTCGGAAACTTACTTTTTTAACGTTTTACTCTAATAAATTTTCTAGACTTTTAGACAGTGACATTTAAAAACAACTAATTAAATAATTTGGCCAATTTTATTTCATTAGTTTCAGCATTGGTTAAATTCAAGGATGAACAAAACAAACCAAATATTTATATAACCAAATACTTATGTCAAATATTTATTAATGTTGGAGAACCAAATATTAAAATATTTATTTAACTAAATATTTATATTCATGCAAATATTTGTATATTTATATATGAAACACTATACTTCCTGTTTTTGACAAGAAAAAAAAACAAACTAGTTCTAAAGGGTGGTTTGTCAATTTTCTTAATAAAATTCATGTTTAAATTGAATTCGGCTACGATTCCCAATTCTTTCTATTTCTAAAACTTCATTTTACATGACACTAAGAAAATCGAATAAGAAACAATTAGAAGCAATAAAGTGCGAAAATAATTGTGTGACTAACTGTTTGCGCTTTCATGGCTAATTTTAAAAGGTAAAAGATTCAACGACAAAAATGAACTGAGCAGAGGAAGTATAAGTATTCCACCTCTTTGGAAAAGGAACATTGTGGTCATAAAGGAGGGAAGTTGACTGCAATGTCCTCTCTACCACATGTACAACGTCATCAAGTATCACCACCGCAAGTTTGTTGTTCATCGACCTGACTTTCTACAACAACCGTATCTCTCTGTGTGCTCTCTCTGTGTAATTGAATTGATTATATGATAGCCAAAGAGATAGGACTGCTTTCTTTTTCGTTATCATAATAATTGGTTGTTATGTTGATTTCATCCTCTTCTCGTCGATGATTCCTTTTATGACAATATTAAATGGCATTTGAATCAGATGACCACTAATACTACTTGCCTATGCCTGTCCATATCCAAGGGATCCCTTCATCAAATGCCATTTACATAGATAAGTAGCTGCATTAGACCTCAGCACAAACTGTATCAGTTTTATCCTATTTCAAATAGGAAAATTCTCGGCAGATCAATAAATATAGATGCTAACGATGAAGAGAACTTAGGAATCCAATGAAAAACTCTTAAAAAAAATCAATATAGAAGGTCGACGAACAAGAAGAACCTATCGCTCAAGGGACTAGGAATACAATAAAGCGACAAATTCAAAGTCAAGTAAATCGAATTCAATAATGAAAAGCTTATCTGTAATAGCAGTGTTAATAAATAATAGCAATGACTTCATGATATCAGTAGAAGCTACGGAACTGTAAACGAATAACTAGTATCCCATTCAATATCCCAAGGAAATGGAACTATAAAGAAATCACAGAACAAAACTTTATATCAACTAAGGTTGCCGTATAAACTTGAACTCATGTGCCAATATCTGCAATGATATGCAACAATATTTCCAGAATAGTATGTACTAAAACGTTCCTTATATTATCATTATCTGTTTTTTTCCGACCAAACAATTACTTCGACTACATTTTCTCATTTCTGCAGAATTTCTAGATGATCAAAAGGAAGTGTCGCGAATTTTTTTTTCGTTTTTGTCTCCAGGTTAGAAAAAATAAAACCTGTCTCCAGAGTTAGGAGATAAAGTACGATGAAGTCCTCTTATATTGCTTGACAAGGACGCAAGAAGTTTGATAAAAGTTTATCAATGTAGAAAATACAGACACGGTTAGGTTTCTTATTGGCGTGAAGGAGAAATTGTACTACAGCTATTAAATTAGGAGTTCCACCCGGTATATGGAAAGTACCAAAAACTAAGTATTTAGTACTGGAAAAGACGGCGAGGTAGGAAACGCTCAGACAGAGACACGTTATAGGAAACTTTTGAATCGACCAATAAATCTGTTGCACCCTTTCGGAGTTAATGATGAAGAAAATCCTTTTGATATCAATGAGGAAGAAAATACAGGAATTCAAACTATCAGAAGATCGAAAAATCGAAAGATTCTGTAGATTTCCGAAAACCGAAAAATTCTATAGATTTCTATTGTTGTCTTGTGAAATTAGAAGTGCCACAAGACAACAATCCCCAAATTCCTCCTCCAGAAATATAATTTCCTTTCATCGGGAGTGTTGGAAAACCCGAGAAAATCTACAATATGTTGAAATAAACGGATGAAAACAGTAACGTACAATATTCCTATGGATGGTTAGACGTCAAATGTCAATCTACAACTGCAGAGAGAAATATTATTGGTGGAAGAAGATCAGTATCAGATCTAGAT